GAGCTGTCCCCCGTGGCCCATTGGCATAAGTTGCTCACTGGCTGTCCAAGCCGCTGGTGGTTATGGGTTCGAATCCTGATGGATCCGGTGGATGCGCACTACTGACGATGCCCAACAGGCTGAAACTGCAGTCTAGTGCTATTCCGGGCATGTGGACGACTATCTGATTTGGGAACTGGCTGCGAAGAAGAACCTCACTTAAGAACCTACTAATGACTATGACTTAGACAAGTGGGACTATGTTATACTACTCACGAGTAGCAGGATTTTAGTCGATATTCTGATAAAGCTTTCATCCCAATAGTTCACAAGCTACATAGCAGAGCCTAGTCCAGAAAAGCGCCAGACGCGTTTCGCTTTATTGGGGCTAAGCAGTGGCGCGCATTCCCTCGGTCCTCCTTAGAGCACAGAGGAGGAGGCTATGCTCAATGAGGCCTTCATATTTGCATAGCCATCTAATTCGGCGGTCGTAACGCGAATACACCGGTGGTTCATCTCTGGACCCAAAGAGAAAACAGCTCCCCTTAGTGTATTTTTTTCTCTCGATCTAACAGTCGAGAATGAGAGAGAACGATTGCTGTGGGACTACGCATAGCCACCTAGTTTAATGACAGTGATTTTGAAAAGATTGTGCAGTGACAGTGAGCAGTAAGCATTTTGGCTTGAAGAAGCTCTTTCAAAAGTGTGTTATTTATCAATCAAAACAAGTGTACAAGGTTAATGTACAAGAATTGGTTGTAATAGGAAAGGAATGTACAATGAAAGATAAGTAAATTTACAAGCGCTACAGCAGCACTGGACACCACCTCATTTCAGAAAGCAACTTTAGGTGACGTTGTCTGACTACAAGCTCCGCACTTGTGGTCTTTCTTTCTCTTCTACGTAGCAGTCGTCGATATGCATCCGCGTCAAAAACTGCGAATTGGCACGACTGTGCAACATGATAATGTGTTTCTCACCAGACCTAACGGCCTTTTCATTTCCGGATAGTCACCTGGACATATATGAGGCGAAAGATGCGCGCTGACTGCCTGGATGTGCACAACATCAGTATCTCTTGTATATGTAAGTCAACCTTGCGTTACCTTTACGCATATTGTTTTCTTGTGTGTTTGTAGCAACGTTTAAAGTAAACCATTCCTCAGTGCTTGCTTGTTGTGGGTTAAGAGCGCAGTAACCGCTGCCCATGATGACGTGCATATTTTGTATCGGTACAGACGTCCGCGTTATATTTGATGTCATATTTCAGTAATTACGCAGCACAATGGATGGCGTACATTTGCATTCCATGACCCAAAAAATGAACTTCCATCTGACCCGCGTGTATTTTGCCTCAATGACATGAATAAAACCCATTCCATGCTTGCTTCTTTAGACACGACTTTAGCCCAAGTAAATGGCTTTTCTCGTAGCAATAATGACGTCCGTTAGCTGACCTATATGCACTTACTCAATACTCCTGTTGGAGGCGCGCCGTGTTTATAGTGGATACTTTGACAATAACCTTGTTGATGCCGCTGGTTTAGGATCTACTTAAACCCGTCAAGATGGCATGTGAAGCCAGCAGCTGCTGCTTCCCTAGTAGAAGGCTCAAGCTAAGCTAAGAAAACATAAAATAAGAACTAGCTACTAGAAAGAGCTAGAATAGTAAAAAGCTAAGGCTAGAAAGAAGCTAAGATGGAGCTAAAGCTAAATAGGTATAAACTATAAAGCTAGCAAAAGGGAAGGCTATAAGAATAAAAAGCTAAAATATTAAAATTATATGCTAGAGAAATGTAAAGAGACCTAACTTGGAAGCCATTGCGAATAACCTCAAGCGACCAATAGAAGGAGAAGACAATCTAAATATCTATAATAAACGTCCCAACAATTGTGTGGAGTGTTTCCAAAGATATCCGTCACAATCACACAGCACATCAGGAACAGGATTAGACAGCCACTTCGGGACTCGTCAACAGTGTGCAGTCCACATGAAGTGGCTCAGCAATACGCCGGTATGCAGTGCCGATGCTTCGCTGTCGCGCAACCATCACCAGTCGTAGGTGGGCTAAGGGTACTGCGAGGGTCGTCTGGCTTTTACACAGGTTCGAACCCGCGCCCTCTTATTCCAAGACAAGGTTGCGAGTCGCAACCCAACCCCACAGCATGCGCCCTAACTTCAGTTTTGAATTACTTTCCGCTGTGCCAAGCGTTGTTTGCGGATCTCAGTAGCATAGTGTTCAGGGCGTTAGCCATGAAGTACTAAGCTCTGAGTTGCACCCTAGCTCAGGCTATCTCCACCTGACGAGTCTAAACAAAGACGAAACCGCGGTCGTGGTGTGCCAGGGTTGGGCAGAGCAACACCCAAATATATCCAACACAGGAGGTTGTTCGATGGTCGCAAGGAAAGCATCAAATCGGGCTGGGAATGATTTCTAAGCTGCTTGAACAGTCAAAATGGATGACTTAAGGCGGCTACAGCTAGCAAGTAAAATGTACTGAAGCAACATTAATACATAAATTGCAATAGTCTTAAAGTATACAGGTAAGGTCACAAAAGGATAAGCTTATCATGAAGCATCTGGAAAAAAACGAAATCTAACGCCGCCTAGTAGAATTGCTCCTAAGCAAGAGCTTTCCATACACTTATCACGTAAGGATAACTCTGCAACTGAAATCTTATCCCTACACCTGAAAGATACTGTTGAGAAAACTTATTTCGCAGCCCGATTGAGAATTGTTTACCACAACAAGCCATTGAATGGAAAACCGTTGAAAGATAAACTGCTATCTTTGACCCGTTCAACACACGTTAATCAGCACTCGCGCTCTGTGGGACGCGATACGTAGGTCGCACCACGAGACGCCTATCCCAGAGGATTCGCGAGTACATTCCGACATGATTTTACAAAGACGAAATGGAGTCCTCAACCAGCTCAATCATGTCGCACCTCCTTGAATGCGGCCATACTGTTTATGAGAATGATTTTAAAGTCATCTAGTCACTATCTGAACGCTTCTCGCGGACTCCGAAAGCTACTTTGGCCTATTGCCGAGGCTATCTACATGCACCAACTGAAGCCGGAATTATGTAGACATAAACGATTCATACGGCCGATTATTACTATAACTACTACTACTACTACCGTGGCCGACTGACATTGCTACTCAGTTACCCCTTTGTGACCTTAACTCTTTACTCTAGACTACTGAAGATTATGCATTATGGTTCCATTAGTGCATTATACTTGTCATCTGTAGCCGTCCCAAGTTGTGAATTTCGACCTTCCAAACAAAACTTAGAAAACACTCCCAGCCCAATTCGACGCTTTCCCCAGACACAATCAGCGTTATGGAAATGTTCGGGTCTGAAAAGAGATCACCGAAAAAATTCTTAACCCTGAACTGATTTCTGAGCATGATACTAGGAACCTAGTCCAAGTGCTGCCTAAGCCAAAATTCAGTAGTTTAATCCGTTGCCATCCATTTTCCGGGGTATAACAACTATATGTGTTGCGTCATTTTGGAGAATGGAGTCATCTCTGCACCCAAGCGTTGGTGACGTGTGTGTGTGTGTGAGAGCGCACTGTCCAACCTCCTCTGATCTGACGTTCGGTAGTAACTGCTACATCTTGCTGTCATAGGTGTTCGCACCCAAGATACGGATCACCAGCAAGGGTGACCTGGTACTCTCGAACCAGAAACATACTACTGGTTTTACGACCGGTGAGTTCAAAATCTGGGCCCAATATGCTGTGCTCCAACCATAATTTCTGCAAACCAAACACCACCTCCTGATCTTTGTGGACGTATGACTTGTTTGGATTAGACTGGTTCGGCTCACTTCCCATCCAGTGGGCAACGTGTGCAAAAATACCAGCCCTAATTTTGAAGCACAGGACCAGTTGGTCGCAAAATCGCACAGCAAAAAGGAGAACGCGCTTTACTGCGACGGACTGTATTAGTCATGAGTAATGCAATATACAGAAGAATGTGCGGTGAACGAAAACTTTTGGAGCAGAGTCCGTTAGAGAATGGGCATTAAGAGTTGTGCTGATGTCGTTTCAGTTACGTAGAAAAGTATACAATGGTCACCCCACTGTCTCCAATCAATTTGGAATGAAGCTGAAGGGTTTCTAGTAAGGAAAACTGGTTATTAGGACTGATGGTGGTCATTCGATAAGGGATGAAGAACATATCGGAAATGGCAGCCAGACTATTCAAACAGCATCATCTTATCGTAGCAAACAAACCAACTGCTATGTAGCGAAACTCTTTCAAAACCAAAGGAAAAACTGTAGGCGTATGAACAACGCAATGTGGTATACAAAATAGTTGCCTAGGTTGAAAAAGAGATTATTTTGGCCAGACGGGAAGAAAACTGGCAAAAAGGATACAAGCATATAAAAGAGCCTGTGTAGAGCATTAGACACCGTGGCTAGTTTTATTGCACGTAGACGAATAAGGGCAGCTTCAATTAGAGAAAAGCAGAGGTCCTGGCACAAGGTGAAACAAGAAAAGGAAGGGAATTCCTGGAAGCTTGGTTCTCAATGAAAATATCAATCAACACGCAAGTCTACATCGATTCAATATACCAACCACTTCGACAGAAAGAAATGAAGTACATTTTGTCACGCGGTTTAAGGCCGAACAACTGTCACTTGCAAAAGTCACCTGCAGGTTGATCAGGGATGGACGATGCATTCAATAAGATTGCACGCCGCATCTCACTGCACTGAGGAGGTCACCTCGCATGGTGGTGAAACGTTTGCAACAAAACCGCCAGGCTCGGAGAACAAATGAACAATTGAATGTGGGACGCACTGTGGACTCCCACTGCAACTTCTATGGACGGGTGCAAGTATTTGAAAAAGCCGATTGTGTAGAAACATGTGGAATGAAATTCGTGTTACCTGAAGTAATGCGCGCACACACACACGGAAAAAGCCTAGAAGCATAACGATGACTGTGAGTTGGGTAACGTGTATTTTTGTACAAAGCGTATGCCTGTGTTATAGTAGTCACTCTAAGATGAGTGTACGCGATTTGCGGATCCTGGCCACACGTTTCTTGTGATCCTCCTCCATATGGTATCGACTTGGTACTTTGGGCCGCTCAATTTCAGTCTCTCTAGAAAGAATTTTACCACCGCGTGCGTGCGGTATCACGTCCACATCTTTCAGCAAATCTTGCACATTCGCCGGTAAAGAGGTGAACTCCTCGAGCGAGAGGTGTTTGTGCACATTCGTAGGATCGTCTGGGGTGACAGAACCACTGGCGTAGAGAAGCGCGCTGAGCTTATCTGGTGGTAGGTAGGAGTAATAATCGGAGTAGTTGTATACATGGAAAGGGAGATACATCTCAACGGTACCTGAGAGGAATGCAAATGAAGATATTAATGGTTAACAGAAATTGGAGAAGAATGAGTGAGAAGTGTGGGAAGCGGAACGTAAACCGGAGCTACAAAAGATGTGGATCTGGTATTTTACTACTGCATGATAAGCCGACGCCAGGAGCATGTGGTTAAGATCTCAATCGATTTGGTACAGTGTAACTCTTATTGAGGCTTCATCGTAGCAACCAGAGTCTTCCACACGCTGGTAGAAGCATCAGAAGATCGTCCCGGCCCATTGAGACCTTCCTGTGGTGCATATCGCTCGGCCACATAAAGAACCGAGATCAGCTAGCAGCTTGCGCTATGAGTCAATGCGATATATCGCAATCCACCCTCCCCTATCATGCTAGTTACGGAGGTTACAGAGCACAGCGCTAACACTGAGAGCCACAGCTTCCAGTAACAGCAGCTATGTAAGACACAGCATTTAAAGAATGCTACGACAAACGTTTTGGATGCACACATGGGGGATAGACTGTGGAATACAATCATCAATGAGCTCATCACACAATAGCTATCTAGTCAATCCTCCAAACGTCCGAAAATGCAACAGACCGTCGGTTCGTCCTACCGAAACCCATTAGCCCTGTGCATCTCTTCACACTATCAAGTAACGCTCGAGCAACGAGTGGAGGAAAAGTCCGCAGAATAGATGGGCTGAGTGACTGATGCACGGGTTTCACTGACTATGTGAGCAAGCGCTAGGTAATTCTGTTTTGTTGTTAAGTAATCATAAATTGAGCCTAGAAACTAGCGATAAGAGAGCACAAAAGAGAAGTCATGCATAGAGCGGAAAGTGAACTAGGCGGGACGGCATTAAGGCATGAGCTGTCTCATATCTGGTGAACAGGACTGTGTCGTGAACAGGTAAGCACAGACGCTCAACATATGATGACTATATTCACCATGAGACACCCTGAAACTGGCTGAGGCGGGGGGGTTGGTGAGAGCGAGAAATAACAGACCTTAGGAAAAAGTGAACAAGGGATGACAGCATGTGTGTTCGAAGAAAGCCACTGAGTTAAAATGGGGCCAGTATACGCCAGAGCATTTCCTAACGGCTGTTTCCCTTGTGCGTCATTGTCTACTTGGAACTATAGCAATATCGGCATTCATCTAACGGATTATGTAAACAAATAAATATACGTACATATGAGCAGGAGATTTTGATATAGATAATTGGGGTTCGTCACAGCCAGCTTCCAAATCAGATAGTCGTTCACAGACTTGGAAAGGCACTAGACTGCAGTTTCAAACTGTTGAGCATTATCAGTAGTGCGCATCCATCAGGATTCGACCCCATGACCACCGAAAGCTTGTCATAAGTCCTAACTCTACACGAGGTCAGATTGTACATAGCAAGAAGTACGGAAACGAACTTCCCGGGGACGTCATCCCTCAACAGACAGTGCCACAACGCATTCGTGTCGACAGAATCGAAGGCAACTCGGATATCCAGGAACACAGCAACCGTTAGCTTTTGGTACACATGACGAAGCTCGAGGGTCTGGGGAAGTTTGAAAACTTGACCAATGCAGCCGCGACCAGGGCGAAACCCAGCCTGATTTCCACGCTGTAGTGATTCTCTGCAGTGCGAGACACGCCTGCATAGACATGATTATAGTAATATTAACGAGAACAGTTGGTGATTGTACAAAATCGCCACAAGTTACCCAGTTGCAAACTGGATCTATGTGCGTATGTATACATGTAGGGTTAGTGTTAGTCGTCTCAGTCGGACTAAACGCGAATGACTGTCTGTTGGACGTGCACTGGACACATGAAATCTCCCGTGTCATATGGAATGTTTTGCTGCGCTTGATATGAATGATGAGACGGTTTCTACCTGTCTAACATACACCACCTCGATTACTGGCTTCAGGAGACTGTGAATGGTTGCTGGTGAAACGGAGTGCAGGGTTCTTGTGGCCGTGCTAGGCTCGGAGAGTGGTTCCATGCGATGTGGAGCGGAATAAGACACAGCCAGCGATTTCTGTACGTCTGGTACGCATGGGTCCCCATGGACAGTAATGCTGCTGGTACTGTGCATGTCAAAGGAGTGTGGATCGGCTTCGTTGATGAAACATGGCTCCAATCCACATCTCTCCCGGTCTTATTCCTTCGGGTTTACACTGGATATGGGGTGTGTGGGTGGAGCTGTGGGTGGTGCAGCGCAAGTTACCCATGGTCTTTCAGTAGACATAGGCGTCTTGTGGCTGGACACAGCGACAGGCAAATCACAGTGGGAATAGTCCAGGGGTTTGGCTTGTGCGTCATGACATTGACGGATAAGCCCATAGTGTTGACAATGGGAGTCGGTGGTTTGCACTTTCCAATCTGATCCACGCACCGATGCACGTTAAGCTGGCAGGTTTAAGACCGCACGTCGCGCGTTAGGGAGTTCTACTCCCTCCATTCTATTCACGCAGCCATCAGATTTGGCAATTTCCATCGCCTCCGCAATCAAACGCTGAGGGGTTGATTGTATACCCCTCCTAATGACCCCTACGTTTTCGAGGTCTATCCGGTGACCCGTGTCTAATCTGTGTGCCTAGTTGTTTCTACACAGATATCTAACGCCGTTCCGTTTTTCTTTAGTGCGGCACAATAGCTGAAGTGTTGCTCACCTTCAACTAATGTGCCATAATGCCCATGCTGCAGCGACTCAACCTGTCATCCGCGGAATTTTATGGCTTTGTATTTATTGGACAATTGATTCATTGATGAGCAGATGCCAGGTCTCCGAGGCACTGTGGAGTTGCAGACACTTCATGTAAGCGACAGGTCACTAATATACTAGCCGCTGAGGTTTTGGAAAGTCACACGAATTTTAGCAAGGAGTACAATAACTCGGTGATATAACAACCAAAGGTGATACATACACCTAAATAGGCAAACCGATAAACACTTTCAAGTGATTGTATCATAACTATGAAAACTGGCAACGAAGTGGAGAAGTTTCGTCAAACCAAGGTATTCTGAGTGTAACAGCCCAGCAGAAGAAGTTAGAACAAAGGTTAATCAAAAGTGTCTCAAGTTGAAGAAATAGGAAATATATATAGAACAGTGAACGTACGCAACAACGATGGAAAATGAGCCGGATCCAAGAGGAGAACCAATGGGAGAAAATATTGCAACGAATAGAGATGCTAAGTTCAACGCAAAGTGTAAATGACTTACCAAGGTCTTGTGCTTTTTCAATCTCTAAAAGTAGTCTTTTGTGTTGCGCTCGGCACAAACCTGTCGAGTGGTAAACAAAGACGATTGAGTAAACATGCAGACACGCAGGGCAGCTATGCAATCGGACACATTGCTATCGTGGATGTTGAGAAACGAGGGAAGATAGCAGCCAGCGCAAACAAACGTCACGTAGAGTTCAACGGTCATAATACAGGTAAGCTAGAGGTGGGAAACACCTCAGCTACTGTGCCGCAATACATTAAAGAAAAAAAAGAAAATAATACAACAGTTGCATGCTAGCTGAGCTACCAGCAACGGATAAGCATCGTTCGGGAAAGCTACTAGCCGGCTATAAGGCAAAAAGAAAAATTGTTATGTTTTACGCTACGAAATGAGATCACAGATGGAGGGGGAGGCTAAAAGGGATGGGGAGGAACAAAGAAACTCGCATCAAGAACACCACTGAGGTCGGCTCCTAGCCATATCAGCAAGTGTATCTAGTCAAACGTGTTCATCATCCTTTGGACCTCAACCAGGGAGCCGTGACGCTCCAACCGAGGCCAGCTCCGAACTGAGGCCCTTCATTCCGAGAGTTCAACGATAGTGTGAAAGGTGATGGAACAATGCTCTTTAGTACCATAGGGGGGCCACAATATAAAAAAGAGAATAGACTGTAGGGCTGGAATTGGGGGAGGGAGGTGTTGTTGCTATGGCTCAGGTGCTCTGATGTGTCGCGACGAGGATGGTGGTCAAGACAGCGCAGGACGAGAAAAGAACAAAAATAAACGACTGAAAGTAGTTGGAATGGTGGCATAGAGCGATAATAGACAAAAGCAAGAAACTGAGACAATCAGGCCATTCCTCGGTGGAAATCCCACCTGTGTCTGGCAGAATGCAGCAACACGAAAAGTTCTTTTATCAATTGTCGAGTAATCGCCTCGGAATTTCGTCAAACCAGGAGCAGGCCGGCAGACAATACGCACTAATGTGGTCCGTCTGTAAACGTTAGTGACCAAAACGCAACAGACGATCAGATGAGAAATTAGGGAGCTTTTATTCGAGTTCGACCAGCGGACGACAGTGTCACTCATTTGTAGCCCCCGGTAGACATAATTCTACTGGTCAGCAGCACTGGTTCGCTGATGGCATGCAAAAATAAATGAACTAAAGAGAGTAAGGTTGGATTCAGTATCAATAGGGTACGATCTAAGGACAAATCCTCCAAATTGTAAAAAGCGAAAGCACGACGTGGTTCGGTCAAGGCATATGTCGCTGAAACGCATAAAAAGCTAGCGGCAGCTATGAGGGACGGAAGTGTGAACGGATCTACCAAAGGGTAAAAGCGACGGCCATGTATCCAGATGAATGTTCGGCCGAGGGTGACTTGCAAGAAGCACTAGTCTGTTGGAATATAACATGTATACATTGATGGTAGAGCTTGTTCGCTTTTCCGTGACAATTTATAAGGGTGTGGGCGATCACATCAGTTAATCGCACGAATCCTGATAACTGTTCTTCCACAAGACAGCGGTAGTTCCCGACGCTTAATTGTCACGTGACCACCATCAGCCATATGCGAGGCCACCAGCACTTATGCCAGCCCGAGCCCTCAACCTGTGAATTTAAACAAGCCAGAAGGCTGAATCACTCGGTCCGCGGCCTGCTTCACCTACCGAGAGTAAAACTAACAGACAATGGGTTGTGACACACCTGACTGCTAGATCCGCTTATGCACACATTTACAACTTCTGAGTTGCGATATGTTGCGCCAATTCAACGACATTTGTTTTAACGCAAGGCTTTTGCAGTCTACCCCATTACTTGGTATTACGAGAACACTTAGTGCACATACAGTTTTTGGAAAACAGTCTTGGTTACCGATTTGTTTTCTTCCGCTATCGCTGTTACTGACACCTGTTTAAACACATCATTCCGCTAATTTAATTGGATCGCAGTTCCACATGGCTGCGAACACACACTTTTCGTTCATTGCGTGCCCCTTATTGGTTCGTTTATTGATCAGCCTTCATTGACTTCATTCTACTTGCATGTTTACAGCAACATCGTGGGTTTGAATAGCTTTTAGTAGTTTTTTTCAGCACATACTTAAAACTATTCCATATATATATATATATATATATATATATATATATATATATATATTCGTAGAAGTCGGGAAGCACGCGTGCTGCAATATTCGTAACTGTGCCAATAAAAGAAGCGGAAATCGATACGACCACTTATGCCATCTAGTTTTTGCAAATTGTGGTCAAAAGAGCCGAAGCCACAACTGGAAAATGCGTCCAATGCGAGCAACCCGAACGAATTCCACACTCACCCGTTTGACAACAATCGAGGATCTTGGCAGTGATGGGATCCACGAACTGAACCAGTAGATCAGTGTGCTATAAAGACCAAATAAAACATTAAACTTGGGATACAATGGTTACATGTCGAGTAGTGCAATGGGGAGCAGAGAGAAAAAGCAGTGCAGCGAAAATAGGAAAAAACATCCCGGTAGCATTGGTGATGCCAATGAAAGTAACACCAGGGTAGATAGAAATGCAGAAAAATGGCGCATTCCGATTCGTACAGGCAAATGCTTGTCAGGAAAACGAAAACGAGAAAATTCAGTAAGGAATGATGCCAACTGATACAAACAACGGTTGCCATAGAGAACTAGCATTGGAGGGAGAAGTGTGTGTTAGCGGATCACGTCAAGAGTAGAAATGCACTCAACCACAATTGAAGAGCATGAGAAACGGTGCCCCGCTGGTGTCCCGAATCCTTGGAGGAATTAGTTATGCTGTAGTGACAAAAGCCTATTTATGCAATTCGGCAGGGGGTGAATAAAATGAACAGGTATCCCAATAGTAGGTGGAAAAAGGAACAGAATACCAAAAATGGCAGTGGATGAAGAATGGTTTTCGCTATCACTCTCATCTGACATAGAGGTTAAAATAGAAAGTATTGTATGCTAAAGGTGCCGAGTTGGATTGAACAACGATTAGGACGCTAAGGTCTCCGGTCGAATCGATAAATCACACTGTCATTGAAGGTAGTAGATTAAGTACAAGAGTAGGTACAGCACAACCATAGGTTAAATGAGATATCAATATAGTGATTCCGAAGGGACAGTTATGGACCACGGATTACACAGGTAGATAACGGTATCTTACCCGATAGTCAAGCACCAGATACTCGTCTCGGCAAATGGGACAAGGATTTGACGAAACAAGCTTATTCGCTTTCTGTTGAAGGGAAGAAAAGCGGAAAATTGGCGAATGTAATACCGGATCCACTGTCGCAGCTGTATACGTAAGAAGAAAGATCAACTAATCCAAGTGGAGTATAGAATGTGAAATTGGCTGCAATGACTTTGTGCCATTTGTAGCGCGTCTCAAAGTCTCTCCGAAATAGGCTTGGAACATACATGAATTTCATGATTGCAGACGACTTGGAATATAAATGGGTTTTCTGTAGGTTTTTATGATGGGAACATTTCGCTCTTGCCGCAAGAGCTTCTTCAAGCCAAAATGCTTACTGCTCAGTGTCACTGCACAATCTTTTCAAGATCACTGTCATTAAACTAGGTGGCTATGCGTAGTCCCACAGCAACCGTTCTCTCTCACTCGCGACTGTTAGATCGAGAGAAAAAATACACTAAGACAAGGGGAGCTGTTTTCCCTTTGGGTCCAGAGATGAACCACCGGTGTATTCGCGTTACGACCGTCGAATTAGATGGCTATGCTAATATGAAGGCCTCATTGAGCATAGCCTCCTCCTCTGTCCTCTAAGGAGGACCGAGGGAGTGCGCGCCACTGACTAGCCCCAATAGGGCGAAACGCGTCTGGCGCTTTTCCGGACTAGGCTCTGCTATGTAGCTTGTGAACTATTGGGATGAAAGCTTTATCAGAATTACAACTAAAATCCTGCTACTCGTGAGTAATATAAAATAAAAATAGCCTCTCCTAGTTTCAAATGCTATGGATATAGCGTCTAGTGAGAGGACGTCATCACCTCGCAGGCTAACCACTGTCAGTGACAGTGGTAGATAGGTGGTGCTATATCCCAGTTAGTTTGCAAATTATATAGCCCAGCCAACGTCCCCCATGGCTCAGTGGCTTAAGCTGCTGACTAGTTGGCATCTGCCTCTAACGGTCATGGGTTCTATCCTCCTTAGAGGACCGAGGGAATGCGCGCCACTGACGAGCCCCAATAGGGCGAAACGCGCCTGACGCTTTTCCGGACTACGCTCTGCTATGTAGCTTGTGAACTACTGCGATGAAAGCCTTATCAGAATTACAACTAAAATCCTGCTGCTCGCGAGTAATATAAAATAAAAATAGCCTTTCCTAGTGTCAAATGCTATGGATATAGCGTCTAGTGAGAGGACGTCATCACCTCGCAGACGCCACTGACGAGCCCCAATAGGGCGAAACACGTCTGGCGCTTTTCCGGACTAGGCTCTGCTATGTAGCTTGTGAAAGCCTTATCAGAATTACAACTAAAATCCTGCTACTCGTGAGTAATGTAACATAACCTCAATTGTCTAAGTCCTAGTCAATAGTAGGTTCTGTTTGCTCCGACTAAGAAGCTCAGTGCGAGTGTGCAGCTGGGAGGGAGGGGGGAAGCAGACGTTATATGTTCCTTGTGACAGCGTATGCCACCATGGATTTCAGTCCGGATTTAGTTGTTGACGGTTTTGACTGTCGACCCCTACTCGTGGTAAGCGTTAGACTATTGCGTTTATACTGGAAGCAGCCACGGCACTAATGATGTAACGGACTGTGGTTTTTTGTGCGTTGGGGTAACAGTTGCCAGCCCCTGTCGTCTCCGCTGGTGGTGTAACCTCGGACTATCTCTGTAGAGCTGAGTCCACGACACCTTAGCATAAGAAGTTAGAGTAGATAGCGTTGTGAATTGGACCGTTCGTGCAAACGATAATCATTAGCTGTCTGTTTTGAGCACTGTTGCGCTCGGAACACCGCCGGCGCGAATTTCCAACGGTACGGTACGGCAATAAGGATGCTATCACACGGAGTGTTCGGCCAGTTCAACTGCTGGATCTTATTCCAAGCATCCGATGGCTAGGGCACGTGCTTCTCGTGTCCGCTCAGAGGCTAACTCATCGCACCTTCTGTGTACGTTGACATCAGGCGAGCGCGACAACGTTGCCGGAGCACCAGGTTGATCGGAGGTAAACATATAATGCACTAGTGATAGGGTGTTCCTTGCTCTATAGTTTAAGATCCAGGAACCATTTGCACGTCAAACTGGAAGCGCACTCGAACGTGACTAAAGATCCATAGACGTCGAAGAATCGGTTACTTTTCAACGGAGGCTATAGGTTTCGACGTACCCAGTCTCTGTGCCGCGAAACTAGCAGTTGGATCCGCTTTGTACCGGGTGTCCACGCACCGACCATGATGCACGCGTGTTGCCTGAGGAGGGCGTAGCACACAAGAGCTAGATTCAGCTAATTGAACACAAATCTCCGGCTCGGAAATGATTAAAGCGCAGGTGCGACCGACGGCTTTAGTCTAATAATGAATGAACGGAACAGCTTAATACAGGGGAGGGTGCAGTGTGATCAGAACCGAAACAAAGTGATGAGTAAGACAGGCATCAACGACCGGAAATCAGCGAGTTGAACATACACCGTGAAAACGGAGTGATTGGATCCAACAAGTAGGATAGAGCGAATGAAGCGGTTCGAATTGTCGATTGGGACTAGACTGCGAGTGAGAGTAGCAGCCATCGGGCTCAAATGTGGCCAGAATGAATCAAATGGAGTTTGCCAGCCAGATTGACCTTCACACCAAGACCATTATATCGTTTGTCACCCGGAATATTAACATATACCATAGAACTTCAGGCGAAAATAATGGAAGCTACCACGGTTGGGCTTTCGCCCCCAAAATGTTTACTGGTAGCATGATGCGACTGAAAGCATGAGAATCGGATCGGCGAAAGCCAGACTAAATTCTGTTGCAGTTGGGTCAACCAAGTTTACAAGCCCCGTTAACTGTTGGAAAGTATACACACACGCACACACACACACAACTGAGGTCGTCTATTTTGGTCAAACAACCATGTGAGGACCCCCCTCTCTCTACCGCGAGTCCCCAGACGGAAAAAACAAGCGTCGGTGTTAGTACCGTCTTAATTATCTTTCCCATTCAAGTCAATAATCACCATCATTAGCTGTCGGCTCTGGCTCATATGAAGCAGCAGTTTCACTAAATAAACGAACTACAAACTTGAAGTAATGTGGACGAGCTAGCTGCAGTGGGATGAGGCATGGACTCCCGTGGAAGCGCTGATGTACGGACCAATTGAGAGCATTGTATGCTTGGTGCTTGTCTCGTGTTTTCCAAGTACAAGGTATGACTGTGAGACTGAGTTGACACATCATTTTTACGAAAAAAAACACTGAAAACAGACTATCTCTGTGTTAACGAAGTCAGCCATGAAGTTGATATGCATGTCAATAAAAGATCTGTGCAGTTTTTCCAAAACTTCAACTATCCATTGAGACGGCGAGACACAAGCTTGTTAATTAATACATGTTTGGAAAGTAGTCAGCTTTGATCATCAATGTCCGTGGGAGAAGTATTCGTATCCGATGGCAGCGCTGAGTGACCAATAACGAAGTCCGCCGGTTGGTGTCTCGCACCAGGCCACTTTGAATCGTAAAAACGATCTACATTTGGCTAGGATAAATAACGCTAAATGGCAATGTGCACGAGGCAGGCCTGAACAGGCATGAAGGAATATCAAGCGATCACCAAACTGGGTGTTAACCGCAAATCGTTGCTTCATCCGGTACGGTGAAAGTACGAAGCCAACAACCTGTGACGTGGAGAAAAAGGAAAAGTAACGGCCAAGAGGCTTAAGCTAGCCGACACGCGTCTCGATGCTGATAGTAGGCTTCAGGATCAACATCGGCGATCAGTCGGGGAGTCACTGGGGCGTCGTAATCAGCCCCTTGCATCTAGCCGTTACTTCCCGATAAGACTATCTTTTTCTGTGATTTGTTTGATACACTCTTTGTTAACTCTTAAGCCACTCTCACCGCAGTTGGAGTAAGCATTATCATGCAGGGAAAAGTAAACTTACTGCACCTTGGTGTTCCGATCATGCTAACGTAGCGGAATTGGAGTGAAGTGTTATGAGAACCACCGCTAGTGTATGGGAACGACACTGCCTCGAATAATGGATAAAAAACCAGTCAAGAGAAAAAAAACCAATCAGGATACAAAGTGAATTTGTCTGGAGTTGCATGAAAAGAGGAAAACGATGGCAGAGAGAGCTGTGGATCGTGGCGCAGATTGGACAATATGTCCATCATATTAAAAAGGATGGCTTATATGCTGCAATGCCGTAAGGTTCAATACGGTATCACCAGACATCCGGGTTCATCGCAAATGCTAAGCATGAGCTAAGTTGGAGTGAATTGCGAAACCGAAGGAACAACAAAGGAACCACTAGCTTCGAAACAGAATGGAGTTAAACAGTAGCATTTCTATGGAACTATGATCAAAACAGTAAATGATTCGTTAGAGACAGCATCTAATTTTCACAAGGCGGAACACTTACGACACAATTTCGACGCGTTGTCGGTGGAGCAAAGTGTCCTCTGAAATTTCGACGGTAATAGAACCAGACCGGTTTGCCTAAGTAGGTATCACGATACACTGGCAAGCGAGAGAGAGAGGGTAAACAGGAAGCAAAAGATACCATCGGATTTCAAGTACTCCATGCTAGTGGCCAAGTCAACCGGGTTGTAAGGCTTCCCTCGGTAATTTTTGCGCACTTTTAGCTCCCGGTCCTCAGCGACTCCCTCCACTTCCATGTCATCATCATCATCATCCATATCCAACGATGGTTGCGACGGTGCACACATCAGTCTGGCCGGAGGTGCATTGAATCCGACTGATATTCCAGCAAACGATTTCGCGAGGGCATTACTTATTCCCCATTCACGAGAACAGTGAGCGGAAGATGTCAAAAACCGGAAATTTCGAGGCTAAAACAAAGCGTAGAGGTTTTAAGAATGCGATCTTCAAGTCAAGAGATTTGCAGACTAAGTATGTCAATGTGTGCATGAACAGCGGTAGGATGCACCTAACTAGGAACCATGGAGAGCTCGTGGCGTAGCAACCACAGCGCCAGTCTCCGAAAGGTTGCCCTCCGACACCGCGTGCGTTGGCTTGGTCCCGTGTATTGCGCATCCTAGACTATCGTTTACCCCCTCCCGATCGCTATTTGCGTTTCCCGGAAGCGAATGAAATGGTGTCGAGATGAGCAACAAATGACGTGGGAAAGAAGACAGCCTCAAGCTTAACATCCATCTGTCCCTATCCTTATTGGTCCAATATAAATACTTTATGGCCCAACCTCCTCTGTGTATCATACAGTAGTGGTTTATTCCTTTCTATACAGACTCTCAGACGGAATTCAAAGCACCGTCGTTTTACGGTTGGTGTACACATCCACAGAACCCATATCCTTTCATTCCCGTAGCAGTTAAGATGCGAACTTCTTGTCGATCAAGGATGTCCACGTTAACATCCGATTATTTAGGTCTATTTACTTTTCGGGTCGATCAGTTTGCTGGTCAAGAAGACTCATCATCATCATCATCATCATTATACACGTTAGTTGCAGGTGGAAAACATTTCAGCTATTGTGCCGCAATACAAAGGACAGGAAAAAACAACAGTGGCACGCCGGCTGAGTCCCCAGTAACGGATGGACATTGTTCCGGAGAGCTAACAGCGGGTTATCGTGCCGTAAAAAGTTATATTATGCCTAACGAATGCGATCGTGATTGGAGGGGGATGGACAAAGGAAATCACAACACAAACGCCGTTTGGGCCGGCTCCTACCCATGTCAGCAAGTGTGTCCGACCAAACCAGTTTACCATCCTTAGGACCCCCAGCCAGAGAGTCGGGATGCATCAACCATTGCCAGTTTCGAAGTGAGGGTTTTCATTTCTCTCGAACAAGTCAGCGCTTGGCCTCCCCTCCTCCTCTTCCAACCGCACCCACAACGCGCAAGCAATGCACGTCGCGGGAGTCGGTGTGCTAGCATGCGCAACACGTGGCCCAGCCATCGGAGCCTGGTGCGTGATATAATGGTGCTGAGCGGTTCACTCGCTCTTCCTGTACCAAATACACGACGCCGAACACGCTCATTGCTCACGCGGTGCTCCCACCAGACATGAGCTAAGCTGCGAAGGCAGCGATGATCGAATGTGACGAGCCTCTTTAGGTCTGTCGACCAGATGGGTCAGGTTTCACAACCACATAGGAGAGTTGAACGGACAACCGCGTTAGAAGAAGATTGATGGCTATGATTTGATTACACAGCCAAAGTTTGCCGCGATTTTTCTGCTTGGGTAACTTTCCGTTTGGAAAACTAATGCTGCTTGAACTCGCGCATCTTTGTCCAGGTACTTTAAGGATCGGATAATAAAATGGTGCTCACTTTGACAAACACGTGTCATGGCTTCGCATTAAAACTCTTCAAGTATACACATTTATATGCTAATTAACCAGAAGTTGTACATGTTTATTGGATGAAACTTTGATATACCCCATACCATGATCAGAAGTCAGGACAAACGGACAAATGTTTTCTAGAATTCTTCTTCAGGCTTCTAGTTATATACAAAAAAACCAAATGGGTAAAGAGACATTGCCAGTCGTTAGTCCTGGAGCGAGTTAATTACTGATAGCGGATTTGACAGTGGCTGTCCGTTAGGTTACGATAACTGACCTCGCGGGCCAGAAGTCGCCAGGCGTTTGGGCCAAGGTAGTCCCAATCCTCTAGTCAGCTTCTTATGAGTACACAGCTCCGGATCACACAATTGAATTGTAATGACCTCAGCAGCTTACAGTATATGTCAACGCACGTAGTTCGATCGATGCGTCGGCGCCTGATAGATAAAGTCAAAACAGCCAGCTGATTTAGTGGCACGCTCTGTGTCAGCGAGGTGCGCTGCTATTGAGGAGCTGACCGTTTATCTGCTTCCAGTTCCAAGCCAGACCGGATGGGATCCTTTCACTCGCTCGGATATACGCCTCGTTGTGTGGCCAATGTATTCTGCTCCACAGGAGCAGGAAAAGGAAAGACAAATTGAGCTGGCGTGGACAGGCCTCTCATCCTTTGAGTTCAGTGTTACCATCGGAGTGCATTCTTGCTGCTGGGTAGGTGTGTCTGAGTGCACGCGAAAGACGATGAAATAGCAGTTCCGTCGTAACTTCACCATTGTATGGCAGCTGAAGAAAGATTGGCTTACGTTCTACTGTCAATATTACGGGCTGTTTCCTCTTCGGTTGTATGTTGGCTTTAAGGAAACCCTCGGAGTAGCCATTCTCCCTGAGCATCAGGCGAATGCACTCCAACTCATCAAGAAACATGTATTCCAAGCAAATTTTTTCAGCTCGGCTCATTATCATCAGCAGCAGCAAAAGCAGTAGATCACTCATCTGAACTGATGCGTCACCTTTAAAAAACCACAACAACCTACGGAACGAAAAATAATAAGGAGAGAAGGAGGACTTACTTGAAAACCTTAATGCCCTAAGCAAACATGTGTAGAGAACATACCGTGGAAAACAGCTGGTTATCGTGCAAAAATAAGGCGGCATCGGCGAGACAGTGTCCTTGCGGCATTCACTGTACCGAGCCATACTCAGCCATTACCCCATAAATAACAGAACAAAACACACTTTAAACAGGCAGTCCGACTAGGAGACGACAACAGGCGCGCCATTGGTGTACACTACGAGCCATGTTCTGTAACGTCTCAAGCCGAGCACAAGGCGAGTCACGTGAACTCCAGCCTGGAAGGCGAGACGGACTGAGAGCAACCAAAGTTAGTCGTCAATGACTTCATTTCCCGCTGCCAAGTCAACTTCTGTCCACCTCGAGCCTTGCGGCATCCTACATCTGGCAGACAAAACAAGGCGCTCCTCGGTAAGCAGTGACAAGGCATACACAGCACGTGCCCAAGCCAACATAACTAATTCAGTGCTATCTGTTGTTCTAAGGAACTAGCTTGGTTAGCACTACCCTAGTACTCGCCTACGTACATCATCGTTGTGGACATGCTGGTGCCACTCGACACCATCAATGCTCCGCAGACAACAATGATCAAAGACTTGAAAGTGCCTCAGATCTTCAGACCGAAGAGGCCAAGTCGCACTTACATAGATTAGGAAGGCACTCACTGTACCCTTGTAGACGGAGGGAAAGCCCCTTCTGTCGCCAAAGATGTCTCGGAATCAAACGCGGTTCTTGCGTTTGCGATACGTGAAATGACTTCAATTGCTATGCACCAATCGTTGCTGACACAACTGAATTGATCAACTACCTCGAGTTCCTCGCTATCTAGGGTCAAGGGACCATCAACTGGCTCGTGGTCCTGCAGCAACGCTTTGCATTTTGAAGGTGCGAAGCACATACCAAATAATGGGACTACTCTGAACAATCTTTCCAGCACTGATTGCGTAGCCGCAACATCGTCAAATAGCAAGACGATATCATCCGCATAATCGAGAGCAACAAGCCTTTCACCAGATAGCACCTCAACGCCTGAATCATGAGATTCCACAAGAGAACACCCCATGATGTAGTCCACGACGAAAAGGAAGAAAAAATGGCGAAATTAGAGAATCTTGACGAACGTCACTTGTGGTCGGAAAGCTATCCGACAGGTCACCGTAGACCCTGACGCGGCCTGTAGTGTTCGAGTAGAGTACGAAAAATGTTCACACATTTCATGGGAACACCTCTCCGAGGAAGTATTTCGAACAGAATGGATTGATCGACTGAAGCGAACGCACTCTCGAAATCGAGGAATACAGCTAATGTCGGTCTGCTTTACGCGTGGCGCTGCTCTAACCCCTGCCGCAGTGAACATGTGCTTTGTATAGCCAAGTCCAGAGCGGAAACCTGCCTGCACTGCCTTAATGCGGGATTCCCGTTCTGCAATGAGGCGTCGAACGAGAACTGAGGCCAGTAATTTTGTCAGAACTTGCGTTAGGCTAATACTCCTGTGGTTATCACAGCCGATGCGACTGCCCTCCTTGTGGATTACCGCTATAAGCGATTTGTGGTGTACTACTACTGAGTAGTATCGTGAAACAAGCGGGCGCGATGAACTCAGCGAATAATAGATCACCACGAACAACGGGCGCATAGTGTACAATTCAACTAGACCTGGAAATTGATGGCGCTGGAGCGTTGTACGTATACCGTATCGTTACGGCATGTTGAGTCGATAGCACATGGCTCAGCGTGGAATCAAATTGCACCACGAATGAAGGGCGCAAATAAGTCTATGTTGGAAAGTTTATACCATGTGTACGTTCATTTCCTTACACACAACTTTAACACTGCGCCGCTTTCTCCACATTTGGTGCCCTGACCAGTCAGGGCCATTTGAGGATGGTGATGTACGGACATTATTGGAGGACTTCGAAGATGTCGGGAAAGACGTTGGGGTGAAGCAGGAGCGGGCGAAGCTGGTTGCGCTTCGGAGTCTACTCAAAAGACGGGTGAAGGCGATCGTGGAGGCGGCAATAAAAAGGCCCAGTCAAGTTGGAACGGGTCGCTGCGAAGGAGGCGCTGGTCGCGGGGTTCGACAGTCCGGCCGACCGCCAGGATGCGATGCGACGATTCAAGGCGGCCCGGCTTGGGCTAGGAGCGGATCCGGTCGTGTTTGCGGTCCATCTCGGCGGCTTGTTGGATCCAACCCTGCCAGATTTGGACGATGCGCCAAGATAGCAACTGTCAGTGGAGCAGTTTCTTGTTGCCTAGTAGCCGGATGGTAGCTTTCCGGAACGATGCCTATCCGTTGCTGGTAGCTCAGCTGACATGTAACTGATGTGTTTATTTTCTTTTTTCTTTTATGTATTGCGGCACAGTAGCTGAGGTGTTTTACACCTCTAGCTTACGTGTATAATGTTGAAAATGATTCTGGAGGGTCTAATTACAACGATGGCGGACCGATTGCG